TCGAAATAAGTCCAATACCCAGCCGGTTTTCCTCCACTCAATGAAAAGACCCCACCACATCCCGTTCGACTGTGGGTATATCTCGAATGGGTAGTCTTTCTGTGTGTGTACTTGTTATTCCTTAACCCTTACACGAACGAGTTGAGTCTGCGCATTCATGTTGGTTTGGAGCCAGGCGATGATGACTACCCCCCTCTCTCTGAATCACCGCCGCCTCCCAGAACTCCACACGCACTACATATAGTACTCTGCAGGAACATTGTACATTTTCAGGCAAGATAATAACTGATCTCCAGTACTTCCCACTATTATTTGCCGAAAAACTGGGATTTCCAATCCCAGATACTGCTGTACTCCGGAATCGCCTGGGATTTGTGTTTGAGGTCGTTGTGCAAGGTGTTGCGCGCGCGTGGCACCAATTGCACGCTTGTACTGTAGGAGGAGTATGTATATGGTGATGATACAGATCAGATGTTGCACGTGTGTGTCAACTCTGTGCTGGGCATCTTGCATACACTATCTACCAATCGACACCATATCCATGAGCCAGGATTGTGTGGAAAGCATTTGGGTGGAGAAGGAGGCAAAGAGGACAGACACCCTTTCTCAACCGAAAAAACGGCACAGCCAACACCCAACACAGCAGTAGATCATGGTATCGCTGCTGCTGCATCCTCTCAAAGTACACAAGACGGGCCGTTGCCTAAATATTTGCTTGTTGTGTGCTGATGATGTGCTTCTCCTCAGCACAGAGCAGGTAGCAGGTGTGTGTATCCCTCCCGATTCTACGGCGCAGCCGCTGTTGACGTCTGTGGTGGTTCGAAATTCGAAAGGAACCAACCGTCAGTTGGTGATCTGTCGAGTCAACGCCAATGCTTTTCCTTCCTCCACCATGACGGCTGATTTCAAAACTCGTACAGCTGCTCCCGGTTGGTCTGGAAAAACTGGCGAACAACCTGGGGCCTTCGTTGGCAGCCATAAAGACCTGTACAAGTTCACGCTTTCGGCTACAACAATGTTTACCACAACCTGATGTACCTGTATTCAGCACCGCATCGGCACGCGGAGACCACCACGTGCAACTTGTCCCGTGGGCCTTACAGACAGATACAAATTAGCACCAGTGTAAAGCACGGCATAACGTTAGAGGTAGGCCTCACCTCTCCTCGACTTTTCACCGGCCGTCTCCCCGTCCTTTCCTCTCCCCCTCGCCCGGCTGCTCTGGCAACGCCCTTTGCGCGCCGCATGTGGGGGGACTGCAAACCGCTCGACCGAAGGGGGGGGTGCGGATGGACGGCTCTGTGTGCCAGTGCATATCACACTTCTCGCTTGTATGGAAGATGACAATATATAGCGAAGATTCGCAATAATATTGTCATCTTCCATAGTCGCTACCCTTGCAACAACCGAGCAAGGGGGGGAGTAAAGGACGGGGAGAGGGCAGGTAGAAACGAGCGAGAGGTGAGGCTTACCACTATTTAGCGCGTGGTAGTACTGTTTTCTGTGTGACAGCCCCCCAGCAAGTCGGGTGTGTGTACAAGTCTCACCGCATTCGGTACTACAGCAGTGTATCCGTCGTCCGTATCCGTCTACCGTCTACCGTCTACAATACCGCCTGCGGACGCGGTTCTGTATATCAGGCTGCAATGATGAGCCCTGTTTGTTTACAGATGTAGTCACGATTGATTGGCTTGGCCTCCTCAATGTTGTCATAAGCGTTCACCCGTGGTCGTTTTCGCTGCCGAAGGCCCCAATTGGTGGTTTGTCAGTTTCCCAGTTGCCGCTGCACTGCTGTACATACCACCGGCTCATCCACCCCAAGTCCACGGCGTACCAGCAGTATAGACTACCAATAGCTTTCTAGGAAACCAAGGGAAACAAGTTTTATCCAGTAGCCGATTTCATCCGCTGCTGTAGAGACCAAGCTGGTCCACCGGCTCGCCTGCTAGTCTAGATCGGGAGGTGGAATACAATCAAATTACCCCTTATTACCCAAAAACGCGCCGTAGGACCAACCCACAACACACAACCACGAAGTTCGCAATACGTGGCACGGCAGGTAACGCCTGACGTCACCGGTTCACCCCCACGAACTGGTCTACCCCACCCACCTTGAGCGGTTTGCGGTCCTCTTTACGTTGACAACCTGTCACTGCTCCAACTCTCGGTGTGCAAGACGAGGGGTTGTCAAGCGAGAGGCGCGAGAACTGGAACGAGGCAGGTGGAAGACGAAGGGTGGTGAGGTCTGCCTGTATGTAGCGTGGCTGCGGTTCTACAGCCGTCGTGATACATACATAGGTACCCCACACGACACAAGTTTCACGTGGTGGTCTGTGCCGTTTAGCTCTGTTCGTGTGTCGCCTGCCCGCCTGCTGCCGCAGTCCTGTGAAAAAGGTGTTGCTAGCTAGCACTGCTATCGCATGGTTGTAGGTTGTGATCGTTTTGGCACCAAGTCTTGCTGAAGGCGCGTGCGCCCGAATCCCCCGACGCCCCCCACGTGGAGATCCATGTTACCGTGTTTGCAGAACTCCTCTGAAGTCACAAGTTTGCGGTTGTAGTGCTACCGACTTGGTCGAATATGATGGTCTCCATGTCGGAATACTATTTCTGGGAACATTCCTTGGGTTGGTGCAGCCCTACACGGCAACCTAGCCTTTAACCATGCAGCAACCCTGGCGCTAACGGTGCGCAGCAACTAGCCCTAACGGTGCTAGAGCAGCCTAGCCCTGACCCCTTTTTGCGCCGCGGCTTAGCTTAAACGGTACAGCAGCAACCTAGAACGTTATGTACCGGTACAGCAACCTAGCTTTTCGACGTACAGGAACCTAGTGGTAGCAGTACGCAGCACCCTGGCGCCGCGGCATGCCGCGGCCTAGGCTTGCTTGGTATAGTGACCTACTGTAACAACACTTTCCAATGCCGTAGTTTTGGGTCGGAGCGGTTGGGTTGGGGTGAGGGATAGGGCAATACCCTAGCTTTGGAGCGGCGGAAAAATATGCACAGCGGGCCGGCTGCGAACCAGCAAACCAGTAGCTTCGAAGAGAGCGTTCGACCATCGGGGGGTATCTCTCCTACTTCTCCCCGCCCACCCACCAGCTGATTCTCGGGCTATATACTGCAACTGTGGGTTTCCAGGAGGTTTCCTCAGGAAATTCCCGTCAACCATTGCGTTCGGCCAAGTCGTTGGCACCCCTCCAAGTTTGTCATTTTTATAGGCAGCTGTTTCCAAGGAGTGTACGTAAAAACGGAGGCGACACCCGTAAGCACTGTGCTCCTTGTACGAGGAGGACCATTTCGGCCGTGGCAGGGCGGTGACCACAAAAGGCGGACCGATTGCAAGATACCCACCCTGCAGACAAAATGAAAAGAGTACTTGTTTTGTAGTCGACCCCGCTTTAAAGACGCGGTGGAGTTGGCAGAATTCCTCTGAAGTAGGAACCGCCTGCAATCTTGACTTCTCAAATTCTGTAGTAACCGTAGTAACCAATACGAATCCATCACGCATATTTTGTCAGCTGGGATCGCTGGTGTACAATAGCTGAGGTCGCTGGTGCACAACAGCTGGGGTCATTGGTGAAGCAATGTCAGTAGCCAAGAGTAGCCTTTGAGATTACCGGTTCGTGACTTTCCAAATGATCTTCTTCACCATCTACAGCAGGTAGTGCAGTTATGTAGACCGGCACTATTTCGGCCACCAGCGCTATTGACAATGCCTGGATAGTGGTTCAGGTTCTCAGAATCCCTCGATAGTTCTGACTCCATAGACTAGGGTTCGATTTCAGTGCAGCGCTACAGCTTTGTGGGGATGGATATTGAGGTGGGCGAGGTGGGCGGGCTTCTTCAAGTTTCATGAGGCTTCTGGCCTGTCGAAAACACGGAATTCGTCACATGAAAATCAACTTGACCAGAATGACACTACTATCCCACCTCAACGTACGCACGGAGTTGTGTCGCGAAGCGTTGGAGCTGGCCTTAACCCGTAGGCCGTGCTGCCCATTCTAAAGGCATGTCGATGTTGATGATGTGGTGGCAAGAATGGTCTAGCATTTTCAGGCAACCTCCATGACACCTACAGTGAAAGAAAGACGCTCATGCTGTCTCCAAAATGGACCGCTCGATTCTCATCTCGTCCTCTTTTCTCATGTTACGTTTGCTTGAGGTGGCGCCGTTTGTTTGCTTCCCTCGTCCCCCGCCCTATTACCGTCTGTCGAAAGACAAAACACCTATCGTGTTTTGAGTCCAATGTGGCAACTGACTGCATCGAGAAGACCAACGCTTCGACTTTGTTCCCTGCTGCTGCTGTAGCAATGGACGTACTAGGACTGCTTCTGTCAAGAGGAGAGTATTTTCACTAATTCAGTGTGGCAGCAAGCCTTCGATGTTCTCCCTGACCTCTGATGTGCATTCACTGCGGGTATTTGCTTGTCAGTTATAGTCCTCGATGAACACCAAGCAGTACACGTAGTTTCACAAAAGAAGCGTTGAACGTTTCCCGTTGACTTTTTTTTTCTCTCTACGTTTCCACTAACAACACCACCAGTAGGCATGTGCTTGCCGTAAATACCAGGGAAATCGATACTGTAGCCCAAAATGTCTTCCTGCCATATAGCGGAAGACATTCAGTGGCATTGCCTCCCACGAGTGGCTGGTGTTGTGGCTTTACTGCGAATGATGAGAGTCTCCAGGAGTGATGAAAATAATCGTGGCCTATGCTCGACTTCACACAGTTTCTCGAGAGGATGGCTAATAATGCTGCACCATTCGCGCGTAGATGGGTCGGTAGTGCTTTCCAGGCAAAATCCCCTTGCCTCCTGTTGTGTTCCACGTTTGTGATGCCTACGGTTCAAGCATGGGCAGAACACCTGCCCCTGTCTTGGACAAGCTTGGAGTAGCATCAACCAGGTTGTATTTCTGGGTTATTTCAGGCCAGCTCCGGTCAAAGTTCGTACGTTCAGCTTTTGACACTCATAAGGTGCTGTTATTTGCTCTCTTGTTGATGCATGATGGCGGTGTGTTCGTTCGGTCTACGCCTTCCTTTGGACCTGTCGCGACCATTCCATCAAGTCTCACCGGCAAGTGTGCTAAACCTCCGACATGCGTGCTCCCCTCCTCTCTTGTTGCCTCCCTTCGGAAAGGTCTGCGTACGAGTGGAACACAGAACGTCATGCAGGGAGACGTCCGTTCGGGTTCCGCAAGGCCTGGTGAGCAAAGAACGAGCTGTATTGGTGCAGAAGTCGTGTTCGCTTTGTTCTTGTTCTCACTCGCTCGGATTGAATTCGAGCCTTTCCATTCTTCTTTTATTCTCGCGTTCAGTCGGATGTGCGGCGTTGGTGATTTGGTGGGCGGCGCCAGTTGCAGGCTCGTAATCCAGCGTGATAGCTTTGCAGCTGGAACGATTTGTGGCCCGGCTCGAGCTTGTCGCGAACGCTGCTCGATCGATAGTTCCTTTGTTGTGCACTTTCGTCCCGCAATACCCAGATCCGTAAGTTCCTTCTTCTTGATGGCAACTTCATGTTTTCCATGGCACTCGGCTCGCGTTTTTCACATGTTTCGACGGTAACCGGCCTGGGCTGTCAATTGAGGTATTTGTACTCCCTCATATAGTTGGACGGGACTGCATATTTTGGTCTTCAGCTTCAATGCTTTGTACCGAGCAACTCATTTCAAACGATTTTTTAGTGTTGTGACGCGGCGTCTTTCGTATTGATTTATTGTGGGATGTTTCGACCATGTTGGCTTCAGTGGTGCTCTGCGGCTAACAGCTGTACCATCAGTGATATGGGTCGTCTTCGTGAATGGAAGGCTACGCCACACATATCACGCTCAATCAAGCACCCTGTGAACATCCCCAGGCGGCGATTCAATCGGGCATTGGTGGTTTTGGTTTGGCAGTTTTTATTTCTGACATGTGCGACAAGTGTGAACATCTGAATGCTAATGGTGTGACGAAGCTTGTCCTCTGGACCACATTGAAGTTTTTTTTGTGGTCGAATTTCGTTTCGAAGTAAATCCCTGTATTCGGGAGTAGGGCATAGGATGAATATCCAGCGCATATCTTTGACAACACCGGCGAATCGACGATTTCGCAGATGAATGGGGCACGGCCGTGGCGAGCGGCGACGCGACTAGCCCAGCTGGTGCTGGTTTGGTCCGGATCAGAGCCGGAGCCGGCTCTGTCGATTCTTAAAGACTGCGTCTCTTTGCTGGAGAAGGAGTTTGCGTTTTCAGCCCCGGCCTTTCCCGCCGTTCCTTTGCTCCCAACTATGCCTGGTAAGTTCCTTGTTGAAATCCGGAGATTGTAAAATGGTTGCACTCGCACCGAGTTGGGGAGACGCCAATATGTTGGGTTTGGTGGCTGGGTACTGTTTTTGTGAAAGTCTGTACGAGGTACATCCCTAGCATTGAGGTATGCGACGGGTTAGGCAGAACGTGCATCGAACCCGGCGGTAGATCGGAACGTAATATTGTGGATTGAACCTTGACGTCTCGTCAAACACCTGACGGGGTTTTGGACTGGTCGCAAAGTTTGTACCGGCCGCTACGGGTAGAATTGTTGTTTCCAGAATGTTGAATGAGCTGCGTGTTTTCTTTTCGTTTCTCTTTGGAGTTGATCAAAGCCACCAAAGGCCATTTGGTGCGAAGAAGCACCACGATTCGATGTAAACTGAGCAGGTCCACTCTGAGAATGGGTTCTCCCCACCTTTTCTGGATAACCTCTACACTATCGGTGGCTATTTGTGCAAAATTGGTTGCCTGGAGTGAATGTATCGGCGATTTACCCGATATTCTCGTGCCCGCGGACAAGCAAATTATTCCATTGCTGTCGCAAATGCAAAAACTCACGCCTACCCATCTGCCAATACGAATCATGCACGTCGCTCACTCGGTCAGCGTGCCCAGATCAAACCTTGAACCTCGACATGGATGTGTCACTGCTTAACGATTTCGGGCACAGGCAGATTGGGTGTATCATGGTTCGATCATGAGGTAAAAGGGTCGCACACACCTGAACGCTATTCGAATCTCAGCATCCTTGTGATTTTTTTCTTTTCGTTCTAAAACCTAACGAATTGTTTGCCATTTACAACACAGTTTTCGTTTTCTTTCCCACGTTGGAGTACAAATCGTTTCGAACGGTCCGCGAACAGATGAAAGAACATCATTTCGAAGGCGATATTGTCATCTCTGGGTACAACCATGCCAGAATCACTTCGCTTGTGTTCAAACCGGACGAGACTATTGAGGTGGCAGAGCCGAAATCCTCTTCATTCAGTATGAGTGAGTGTGGTGGATCTTGTCCACGCTGCAATTCGACATGTGCTTTTGATTGAACAGCATGATGACGCACGCACGGTGGTAGAGGTCTGGATGGGAGTGCCTTGTTTCTGTGGTGTTTGATTGATTGTCTCCGCTATCATCGCTCGTGGAATCAACATGTGATGCCGGTTCGAGTGTGGCACTCACAAATTCAGAACAAGAGGACGACAGGGTTGACTGAGCTGAAACCGATAGACTGCCTTGCGCTCCTGCGAGTAGCGTGTCAGGCGGTTGCTTCGCTGGTGCAGCTCCCGACATTTTGGGGGGAAGATGGGGAAGCGCAACACCAGGCCGGATTTAACTTACCGCTTGCCGCAACAGAAATATTTGTAGCGCAATTTGTTTCGTCGCCGGGGAAAATATATTGTGCGGCCCCTGTAGGCCTGAAAAAGTTTAGGGCGGATATTACCCTGTTGTTTTCTCGGCATTCTGATTCGTGGTTAGTTCTCTGCGGAAGAACTGCAACGGAAAATTGTTCAATTCCGAGCGACATTCTCACGGTCTTTCGAGACGCATTGTTTTCCCCGTGGAAACAAGGTCGATTGAAGTTTTGGTGGGTCACAGAGTGCTTCCGTTCACGTTTTCGGCTCGTTTGCGGCCGACAAACACACAGTGCGCCATGTTTTCGGGTGGCCTACAAAGGGAATACGTAGGACCTCACACCACGTTTGACTGCTGTTTGTGGATATCGTCTGCCTAAGGCCTCTGGCATGCGTTTTTGACTCGTCACACTCGGAGCAACCAGAACGAACAAGGCGGACGTCCAAAACGCCAACATCGAAACTTACTTTCAGCTCGCATTTGCAGGCCGGGTGCAATCGACACCGGACATTTTGGCCATGATTTTCGGAAGCCTTCACAGAGCATGTGTATGACCTCACGCCATTGGCTGGTGTGCGTGTACATTATGGGGCGAGTCCCTTTCTCTGACATGCGCCTTTGACTTTGACTGGACACAGACGGAGCTAACACGCGGCGGACCGGATCATGAAAAGAGGAAAATAAATATCATCGAATCGAAACACACGTCTGTTTGAATTTTGAGAGCGTGCGCAATCATTGCTGAGACTTTTCCCGGGACGCTTGCAAACGGTGTGTGTATCACCGCACGCCATTGGCTGCTCTTTGAGGATGTTGCACGCGGTTTTTACTGGTCATACGTGCCCCTGTCACGAAATCGGCTCATGCATCAATTCAGCAGTGCAATGTGGCAGGTATGGATTTTTCGGCTCGATTGCCACCAACCGGACCCAGAACCGCCTGAAACTTCGACACCTGCAGAGAGTTTGTGTCTGACACCACGACGTTGGCCTCCGTTTCTTGAACAGACGGTATAGATCCTCGTTGTAGCACGATTGGGCTCTAACCCCTCTCATTTCTGATGTGAACACTTTAGCTATCTAGTGGGAAAACGGGCCCAATTTCTTGCTCACGGGCTGGAATGCTTACAAGTATTCGGGCTCTAAGCAAATGGGCCCTACGGTTGTTTAGGTTTGCTTTTACGGAATAAGCCTAAATTTTAGGGGGAGTAAGGGAAACGACCCCCCCCCCCCCTCCCCGTTATAACCAAACTGAGAAAACGGCAGCCTAAGAATCAGTCTTGGGCCCTTTATACCAGGCGAGAACCATGAAATTCGAGAAACGTATTTTGTCGTTTTTTCTCTGTGGGAAGCGATATATATCCTTTTGAAACAGGTGCCCGATACATTGCTTGCATTGCTTGACACCTGCCCCTGTTGTGGAATGGGTTTCATGCAAAACACATCCGTCGAATATCGTCAAACAAAGGCGCCAACCCGCTGTTGCCGCTTACATCTGTGTGCCTGCGCGCTATGTGAATCGCTGCTCAGCATCCATGTGAATCGCTGCTCAGCATCCTCCAAGGCTTGTCGGACTGCCCTCTCAATCAACATGTCGCACGAACATCATGGAGTCTGCCAGGAGCTGACTCACACCGCAGCGCAGCAGTAGACCTCTACAGCACCGTCATTTATGTTGGTGTTATTCAATAGCGTGGTCCTTCTATTCTCTGTCTTAAACCTCTACCGCGTGCTGCTGTTCATCGACACACACCACCCAACACACAGCCAGGACGTACGTTCAACTAGCAGCGTCTTGGAAACATACACACCATGTCAGCGTCTCTCGTCTATCTCCTCGTTGTCAGATGCCATGCTGTGCATCAGATCAGTCTCCACTGCATGCGTGTATCTATCGCATGCATGCTGCCTCTCGCGTGTAACATGAAACACGTCGCCGACCAACCAAAACACACATCTATGTGTACTTGGGCCCAGCCCCTGCCATTTTTCTCCTCGCTGCCACCCTTGCACACACGGCACGTGAATGATGTTATGCTTCTGGCCTAGCTCATGTATACGCCCGTACACCGTTGTTTCTTCCGCAGGACCCAGTCGTAGCTCATGCTTGAACGCGCTCGTCATCGCTTTGAACGAGACGTGCAACGGGGAGAGCTGGTACACGTCGACCAAGGAGCTGCAGCTGGCGTCCTTGGAGTTCTGCGTCGCGTGCAGAAACTACCAGACCCTGCACTTGAAAGTTGACGCACAAATCCCACGCAGGCTGCTTGCAAGGGCAGATGCCCCACCTCCACACCCGGAGCTGCTATGCCGGACGCGCGTGCCACGGCTAAGAGCGCGCCGCGTGACGTGGGGCATGCGGAAAGCAGCGGAATTGAGCATCCCGATATTTGCAATGACAGACGTGGACTGCCTGAAGTTTGGCGAGACTTCGTTGGAAGCGTTGAGGCTGTGGCATGGCCGCGACGGTTGGAAAAGATCCAGTTTTTCATTTCTTCACTATTCAACGAGCCGGTCAGTCTGGTCGAGTGGCCAGCATCTCTGCAGACGCTTAAATTCGGTAAGATGTTCAACCAGCCGATCGAGCATGCCAAGTTTCCGGCGTCGCTCAGGCAGCTCGCTTTCTTGGCCAGTTTCAACCAACCGATTGTGGGAGACATTCTACCGAGCTCACTGCACCAACTTGACCTGGGGGTAACCTTCAACCAGCCCATTAACGGGGTGTGTTGGCTAGATTCACTTCAGAGGATTAATTTCGGAACTGACTTCAACCAGCCGATTGACAACGTCAGGTGGCCGTCGTCATTGCAAGAGCTTACGATTGGATCTGTGATCGATGTAGAAGAAAACGTGATAACGATGTACTCGTACTTCGACCAACGCATCGACAGCCGTGGTTGGCCTATGTCTTTGCGTCGACTCCACTAGGCGACGACTTCAAACAGTCACTGCAAGGGCTGGGGACGTGGATGCCCAACCTTGAAGTACTTCGTCTCTTCGATTTCCGTGATCCAGATTTTGGTAACGATAGCCTTCTCCTCGGAATCGGATGGCCAACAGGCCTTCGTCAGCTGGCCGTGTATGAATGCACGAAAATGGATGGGGTCACTATTCCTTCCACGGTAGAAGTCTTGTACAAAGTAGTACAGACCTGTAGCTTTGATGGTGCTCGGAGCAGTGGTTATTGCAGTACCTTTGATTAGCGAAGCTCTAGACTAGTAGATGCTTTGGAGCAAAACATATCGATTGCGAGACTGTATTGTGGGAACTGGGAGTAGAGCTGCTGACAGTTGGAGTGCTTGAAATGCACGAAAGCAACATGTCGAAGGAGGGGTTTCGATTCACGTCGGATGCCACGAACATTTCACCTCAAAAGTACTTCCCGTTCGATGTATTTCGTTGATTGTGTCGTTTGCGCGTTTGATGGCGATATCCTGTTTGGGGTTTGTGTTCGGCGGGGTGTGTCAATTTTATGAGCTCCTGCTGACGCTTGGTTTATAGCATTTAGTCTTCTGTCACAAGACGGAAAGAGTGACGTACATTATTTTGGTGGAAGCTCAGAGTTGGCATCTACTGTATAGGTTCACGTTAAACTGCGGATTAGCAACTGTGAGGGGTTCGACCAAATGTTTTTTGAAATAATTCAGAATCATTGAAAGTTTTGTTCGGAGTGCCAATCGCTTACAACTTTCCAGTGTGATGAACTCCATCAATTTTCTCCACTCTCTTCCTCTTTCAAGCGAAGAGTCCCCGTGGGCTGCATACGGCAAAAGGTACTCGTTGTCATGGGTATTGTAGTGGCTGGAAGTGGCCCTGGAATAACGTCGTCCTCTGAGATGGTTCCTGCCACCTTCAACAACGAACAGCCCCCTGCGGCGCCCGTGTAGGCTATTGTTTGGGCGCTCTAGTGATTGACGAGGCATCGGTTGCCAATGTCGCGGTGACGAGAACGATCTCTAGGTCCTCGCCCTAGAACGATGCCCATAGCCAACAAGCGGTTTGAAGGAATTCTGGGTAGTTGGAGCTGCTGGTCGGATATTCCTCCCGCAGAGGCTAAGCGTGTTCGACCTCTTGTGGAACAATTCACCGAACTTGTGAAACCTGTGGTTCTGCACCACTTCACGAACTGGCGAGTTGTCCTGTTGTTGAGTACCCTGATTGGGATGCCGTTTCGGATGGACCACGCCCTTTTCGCTTCCACTGTGAAGCAAGTGATAATGTCGTTGGTGGGACTCTTGGTCTGGAACAGTTGGATATGTTCTCGGCTGTAGATGTTGTTGGTTGAAGTTTATGCTTTAAATCTCAAACAGCGAAGGTTAATCACCTAACACGTATTGCCGGGATAGGAGTTCAGTGTATTAATTATGTGATCGGGTTACACATCGAGACCTACGAGTTAGTACATTGAGCCACGAATCGCATCAACTGTCTATTACCGTGATGGGTACGTTGCAATCGCCCGTGCGTGGTTTCTTTCCGTGATGAGGATGGAGGCTCGCACCCGTGGTGCCCCCCCCCCATCTCTCTCTCTCTATATATATATGTATCTCTCTCTCTCGCTCTCTCTATTTCGCTTCCTCCCTGCAACGGCCAAGGCGCTTGGCCACTTCAAGGTCCTTGTGGACTATTTCGAGTGTCAGGATCCCGTCCCTTTCTTTTTCATACGTTACGACCAACTACATGCCAATAATTCATCTTATCTGGTGCACATTCACCCTGTAAGCCTCTGTACACAACGGCCACTACCAGGGATGCGCCCAAACCCAGGGTTAAGTCTAGCCGCCAACAGGTTATTAGCATTTCAGGTTCTACCCCAGCAGGTCATCGAGCCCATTTCCAACACATTGAGCGCCATTGAACTCCCCTAAACCTCGAGCTTTCCACATCATCCTGTGTATCATGTAAATTCGGAGGTTCGTTTGGGATACGATCCTCGTGTTTTACGGTGTCTGTTGCCTCATGCCTAAGATGCCCCTGATGGCAAACCCTTTCTCCGTCGTTCGATGTGAGGATCGCATTAATGTCTATTCTTTGCTCTCCATCTCCCGGTGATGCCATCTGGTGCAAGTGAAGAATTGCTGTGAAAATATTACACTCAGATACATAGTCTGCTACATTTTTTTTTTTAAATTGTTTTCTCCCATCATTGGACTCTGTCGTGTGCTCCTGTGGCCCCCATCCTCCACTGCTATTAGCCAGACGACCCAACCGGGGTCACATAGAAGGGGGAGGTTAAACCCCCTCCTGCGGTTCTTGCCTGAGATATTTTTTTCGCCAGAAGGGCACAGCAATCCCTTCCCTCGCGACCTATAATGAAGTCGATCGAGTTTACTAACAACGAGCTTTGCAGCGTGTCGCTTCCAACGTGAAACCAGGATTTATTTAGTGAGAAAATGAACTCATTCTGCCGGGACTCGAACCCGTATGACCTGGCCCTTAGTAGGCTGCGAGGGTACCCACTAGACCACCGGGGCGACCGGTCATATATGTGTAAGTACACTGCACGCGACACTTCCTCTTGCTACGAGGAGGAAACGACGGTACAACTTTCTACGCACAGGAAACGGCCGTTTCTGGTCGGTTTCATGTCGATCCTTGGGGGTAGCAGTATCGCCAAGAATACAACTGCAGCTGGTGGAGCTCTTGTCATTCACGTCGATCGGACTGGGTAGCATGAAATTCCTAAACCCCATCACCTGCGATCCACATCAAGACACGCCCTGATCTGGCACCACAGCAGTCGTGTCGGCCGATTCCAACTCATACGAAACATGACTGATATTAAGCGAAATGCGACACAAGCTAAGCGGTATCCCAACATCCCCTTCACCATATCCTCAAATCCGTGCTGGGCTCGGAGAGTAAATAGCGCATCTATCTACAAATATTGTACGCCACAAACCCGACCGACCTTTTCAACGCAAGACGCGCTTACTACAATTGGACCAGAAGTGCCGCCCGAACGCCCGGGAAACACAAAACAAGGCTCCCTTCTCCCGAGGCAAGACGCCTTAACATCAACCGTAGGGGAGGTTGGAGGCAAATAACCGCCGACCCGTGCAGTATCCTGTTTCATTGTACACACTGGTACCGTCGTCTTGGAGCAAGACAAAACAAGTCTGCCCGTGCTGTGGGATCCCGAGTACGTCTGTCTGCAAAGCCGTCTATCCTAGGATTCCCGGCACTAATGTTAACGCCAACAAGCGCAGAAAATCCAACACCCGCTATGTACACCTACGACTTGCGAAAAATTCCACCAAAATCTAGTCTAGGTCGGGTTTCTATTGGTTCAGGGCCGTGGGGACCCTGTGAAACCGGTTGCGGCTGCACTTGTCCACGTCGTCAACCTTCAGCAAGCCCCTGCCCTGGGCCTCCTGAGCGTCCCTTCTCCAGTCCGGAAGCCTGGAAATACATTCCACCGGGCGGTCGGTTAGACGAGCTCAATAGAAAAATGTAGACTGAATACAAAGTTGTATATTCTTCTTTGTGGTTCGGTGAGGTTCGCTCGGCTCTTCCGAGTAAAAACGTGTCGACGGTGTGAGCTGTTCGAGCTTGGGAGACATCACTGATGGCAGCTGGCAGCTGATTCTCACCAATACGGGCGTTACTTTTATCTTACATCACGATGGCACTACTACTCTGCTCTGATGAGCCCACTCCGGAGGCGCGCCTTGTAAACGACGTGCATATGTACGTCGAAGCACACAGCTAGGTTCCCTCCGTCGCTGACGGCAATGAGACAATGTTGCCCATCTTGTTGGGATCGCGACGACTCATGTTCATGGATACTTGGAAGAGGGGTTGCGCTCACGAAATCGATGACTGGTGGGAAACGTAGGAATGTGTTTATCTGCAGAAGAGGATTTGCTCGGACCGGTCTCGAGAAAATAGTCATTGCCGGGAAGATTGCTTCCTTGATTGGTGCCATATCTTGGCCAAATGTCAAATTAGCCCCCCCTTGCTACCCCGCGATCATGTGCATGTGGGGTGTTTCTCTTGCCCCAAGGCCTGACAGCCCTGTCGTCGTAGTGGGTCCATGCCAATTGCTTTCGTGGGCGCGTTCGTTCATCGGGGCCAGATCCACAGCTGTGCTCGGCTATGGCGGGCGAAAGAAAAAAAATAGGGAAAGAGAAAATAGTGGGCACACCCACCCGTGTCTCAGACAAAAGTGGGTACTCGAAAGGTTGCATGGCGGAGACCACTCGTGACAGGACGCAACCACTCAAAATATCATTCCGATGCATGGACCTTTTGGGCTTACAGGCAAACAGCTTGGAAATTACCAGAGCACCGCATTAGTGTTAATCGCCAATCCACACCACACCAGGAATGTGGCCCGACTGTATGATCATTCCTCCCATGCAGGCTCTTATCTTTCTGTTCATAACAGAACTCGGACTGTGGCAGTACGCGAGAGAACGCGGGCAGGGAATCTATAATATCCCACCGGTGGCCCGGTGGAGAAACGAACACCACAACTTGTGCCTCTTTGGAAGGTGCTGGTTGCAGTCTACCGTAAATTTTGCGAGTCAGCGCACAGAGGTGCGATCGATTTTCAAAGCGTAATTTTTCCACAACTAGGAGGGTGCGAGCGCCAACTGATACTTCTCAGGAAAGATCTCGATGAGATATTTCCAAAACCGCCCTCTCGACAGTGGTGACCTCCTGGTTGTGGAGAAATTACGCGTTGGGGATCGCTCGGCACCCCTGTGCGCTGACTCGCAACCTTACGGTACCCCGTACAAGTTTCGGCTGCCGTGCGTTGTAGCCGACCTGTTCCGTCGCTGTTCGCACCAGCACCAGACCAACGCCAGGTTTTGACAACTGGAATACGCCGAGACAAAAAAAAAGAAGAAAAAAAGCAAGCATCTCGCTGGCACTACTGTGTTGCTTGGGCTCACTTCTTCGCATCTGGCCGTTCAGGCAAGGGGTGCCCGTCGTTGAAGCCGCCGCCCTTGCCGCTCCCTCCGCTGAAACCGTCGAGCTCGAGGCCGTCGTCGCAGCCATCGACATCCTGCAGAACCCGTAGCGCATCGCGGAACACAGCAGGGTCCTCGAAACCCTGCCAAGATCGACGAAGCGTCCGCCAGAACGGGATGATAAAGGGTGAGGCATGCTTGTACCTAGCAGCGCATGGCGCAATTAAAGGCCAACGACAACGTCGACCAATACAAACACCGTCTCCGCAACACAACTAGTATGCAATACAACGTGCCATGTCGAAGATAATTGGTTGTCTTACTTCCGTAGGTTACGGAGGATATCACACACATCCTCTGGACTGATTTTCAAAGCTCGATTGATACTCCACGACCGAGATGATGCCACAGTGGTCAAACGATGCGTTTTCGGAAAGCTCGCGACCAGACGGTTCCAACGTCGTATTTTCCGGCACCGCCACTCTTGACTGCTGTGGAGTAATCGAAGCTTCGAAAATCGGTCCGGGGGGGGGCGTACTCATTTGTTGCTTGCCGTAGTAATTTGACCATTGACCACGCGTCCCTTTCGAGACGGAGCACCGTTCCTACACCTACTAGAGACACCACCAACATTTGGGAGCTCTTTACGTTTCTGCCACAAACTCCATAAAAATTTCTTCAAAATCTTATCCCCGTCCTCTAGGGCCTCTTGTGCCCACCATCTATCCCCAATTATCGCGATCGTTTTTTCGCTGTTGTCTAATTTACCAAACTTGTCCATGTCACATCCTCTCTGTCTCATTTCCTCCTCGAGATCCTCTCTTTCCTTCCTGTACAACTCACACTCCCCAACTATGTGGGGTCTACTCTCCTCCGATTTGCCACAATGGACATGTGTGTCTATCCTCCTCTTCCTCTCTCCTACGGCTGGTATACCTCTTCCTCCGTTCTGGCAAGTCCAGATCGCCTACTCGAAATTGCAATTTCAGCTTTTTCGCATAGTCCATGGGGCCGTCCAAGTACGTCTTCATCCCTATCCCTTCTTTCAACTTCCCGTATATCTCCAAGTGGTCATTCGCTTCGTACCTTCTTCCGAAGGGTTGCCTCCTCCCTACTCTCTAGCATCTCCTTGACTTTCGTCTTGAACCCCCCGAACCCTTCCGTGTCCAACGTCTCCTCCTCGTCTCCTATCTCCTTCCAAACCTTCTCTACCACCTTGTCCCATCTGATTCCCTTCTTCCCTGGAGTCGCTTTTCCCCAAGCTGCCTTGTCAACCATGGCTGGTGGTCTATCGTCCGACATTCTACTTATCTTGTACTGCCTATTCAACTTCTGCATGTCTCTCTTTGTTTTAAGAGAGTACATTCCCAATTCTGCTCTCAATACAGTGTTGCTCGTTGTACTTGAACATCCTAGTATTTTCTTGGCCGCTGCCATCTGCACCGTTTCCACCTGCTTGACGGCCTTTTCGTTACCTTCCCATACCTCTCCTGCATACTCTAGCTTAGGTACAATCACATTCAAGAGAATACACCTCTTAATCCTAGTGTCTAGGTGTGGGTCCGTAAGGATCTCGTCCATCTTGCCTATCTGAGCTTTACCCTTCCCAATCAACTTCGCTATGTGTGCGTCCCATGAGCACTCCTTCGAAATCTCTACTCCCAGGTACGTATACTTGTCTACTACCGGTAGTTCTTCCTCCCCTCATTTCCATGTGAATTCTACGGGATTTTTCTTGTCTTCGTTACAGACCACTACTGCGCATTTTCCTACGTTCGCCGACAGTCTCCATTTTCGGGTGTATCCTACCGCCGCATCTATTTGTTCTTGCAACCCTTCTGGAGTTTCGGATACCTCCTCAAAATCATCTGCAAACATCAGTCCGGACACACTCTTTCACCCTACTTGGACTCCCTGGGTCCAGGGGGGGGGTGATATGTTGCGTCACCTACGTTGGGAATGACCCTCATCGTC